CCAGAATTACTGCGAGCAGGTGTGCCAAAACAAACACAGGATAGCTCTGGCAAACATTTTTGGCAGACAGTATCTTCTACATAAAGAAAAAAAAGCACCCTGCACTGCTGCGGGCACAGGCTGTAACATGACTGCATGCAGCAGCAGGTCCAGGGCTCAGCAGCAGCAGCAGCAGCATGGAGATTCCCACTGCTCCCTGCCCCTGAAGCTTCTCGTCCCTCTGCCGACCTCCATCCAGGCAAAGGCTGGCCAGCTGCAACCCCTTCTTATGGTTTTGTCTCTCATTATCCTTGTACCCAGCGTTGGCAATCCATCCTACCAGCTCCAAGCCATGCCCTGACTAATCCTGTTGTGTTCTGGGCATCTCAAAATGACTGTTGGAAAGGCTTGTAAAAAACAAGCGCTAAAGGTGGTGTGGCTTTGAAAATCTTCGCTATGCTCTTTTGGTCACAGCCCTCCCACGTGCTGAGTCTCTCCAGGAACTGTTTATAAAAGCTAGTGCTGCATTAGCCATCTCCTAAGGCTTTGTGTGGAAGCAGTTTTAAAGGAAGACTTGTACACTTCTGCAGGGGTGGTGAGGACCATCTGGCAATGGTTAGTTTGTTATTATTCACTTTGTCGATTTATTCTAACCCTTATTGATGCTTCAATGCAAGACAGATCCTCAGACAAGCTTGTGAGTTCCTGTCTGGGAACTACCCCAGCCTTTTTCACAATAAACACATGCAAAAAGCTCATTTGGGGCTTCTGTGCAATTCTGTCTTTTCTATGTATTCCTTTGTATACCTGGATAGCAGATTGGCTCTAGAAAATGTCTCTCAGGCTTCCTGCTCCTGATGAGACTGAAAAGCTTTTTCAGTCTTTCTGCAGGTTGTGTGTCAAAGTTACATGTTTCAAGAAGAATAGAAGTCAAACAGGAGTGATTCTGTGGATATTTTGCCTTTGTTCAGAAACATCTTGAATTGCTTAGGCGCAAAAGGGTGATCTAGGAAAATATTCATCAAAACCAGAGGTGTCCTCTGACATCAGGAAGAGGTTCACCTCTTTTTTGCAGGAAATTCCTGCCTTGAGCAACAAATATTCACCAAATATTATGAACCAGCAAACATTTTGAAAACATTCAAGACATGGTTAGCAGCACTTTGGAGGACGTTGGAGAGATACAGATCCCTGAGGTGACTGGTTGATAAACAGAATAACCAGGAGTCAAACCAGTGCAGGACAAAAACAGAGAAGACTAAGTCTTGCTTGATTTTGCAAAGTTTAGAGGCAAAAAGTGGGTATAGTTGTGATAGATTCAGTCTGAAAGCATTTTCTTGAACATTGCTTGTCTGTAATTTCCCAGCCTTCTATAAATTAGTCAGCATGTGAGCATTGCTCTCTAAGTTTAGTGTGGGCAGTTTAGATTGCATGTTCAGAGTGCTGGCTGTATTGTTTTGGTTATGAGATAGTCATGGTATGTTTCTGTTTGCAGATGGGGAGGTTTTGCCTCTGTGAGTCTATAACCTGGTTCATTTACCTACACTGAATACAAAATTTAGCAGAAACGGTAGCACAAAGAAAACTAATAATAATTTCTCTGTAGTCTGGTGATATGCTAACATAAATTCAGGCTTACACCTTTTTGTACTGAACCTACAATACCAGTTTTAGGAAAAATGACCCCAAAAGATCACGTGACACAAATTGATGATTCAGATTAAACTTACATCCTGGACCCAATCTGTCAGGAAGACCTAACCGAGTAATTTTGTGCTGGCGGGCTGTATGCCAAGTTAAGTGTATTACCCCCTGATATTCTAACATGTCATATCAAGTACTTTTTGTCTTCCCACAACACACGTAAGGCTACTGTACAGCCGTAAAGCCAGCGTAAGCCCCATGCTGTGTGCTGGGATTAACATCTGTGAATCTGGATCAGATTTGTACTACTGTATTAACGCCCATGGTAGCATGGCCTCCTTTAAGGAAGATGAACAGCAAAGAGTAAAGGTCCTCATGGTGGCCATGCACGTGAGTGCTTCTCTTACCTGCTGCTTGGTTACAATCACAGCTGCTTGTGTGGCTTAGAAGAAAACTCAACCAGCCATGGCCACCTTCCCATTTATTCGATAGGTGACATCCTGTTCTTTCCAGTTGTTATTACATACAAGAGTATTTAAGTGCTCCTTCCACTTGGCCTGAAGGAAAGGTGTTTAGAATATCCATAGGTATAACCACGTCTGTAGGTCTGCACAACAACAGCTGCAGTGCAACGATACCATGCCACAGTTTATCCTATCTATTGAGAGGGAAGTGATCTTCCAATTAATCATTATTCTGGTTAGTTTGTGGTTTAATGAACATTTTTGGAGCAGTCAAAATATTTGAAAAGTACAAAAGCAAAGCACATGCAATGTGAAATTCCAAGTGAATTTTAAGTCTGTCCTTAATTTCCAGTGCATATTTTGACCTGAGCTTTCAACAAAAGTGCTGTCATGCAAGCTGTTCTCATCAGGAAAACAGGCTGACCTGCTGGAGAGAATTCCTGCTCCTCTTTTCACAGAATACAGGGAGAATGAAACAGTAACTACAGTCAGGTGAAACTTTCCAAGGCAACTGACAAAAGCAACTGAAGCACAAATTTTCTTAGCAATGGAGAACTTCTATTATGGGACACAGACACTTGAAATAAGACCCAGGGCTTTTGAAACGTGTTTTAGACATTTTTTTTTATTATTATTTAGAAGATGTAGAAAACAAGTGGAAACGCTATTTAAAATCTTGATTAATAAAAGAAAATGGCTGAGAATATAAAGGCGGCAAGATCAGTGGGAAAGCAGACAGAGCAGTCCCTGAAAGAAAGGCATCAACAGAACAACAAACCTTCTAACATAGAAGGCACATGGGGAGAGAGCATTAACAACCGACATGAACAAGAGTGTAATGCAGCACTAATGGCAGTGTTAAAACATATAGGCAGTCTTTCCAAATTGTGCAAAAAGTGGAAACAAGCACACAGTTAAGAATTAGCACTGCAGAATAACATGGGCAGGCAGGAATAAAACGAGAGGCAAAATTAGTGCCAGAGAAAGATATAGGAATATGTTATATCTATATGCACAGGAAATAAAAGCAAAACAAGTGAAAATATTGTTCACTGATGACAGAAAAGGAAGGCACGCACACACAGAAACCAGCACGTTAGTTTCTTCAGCCTTCTAAACTGCCTTGCAACCTGTTACTGAACTGAACGTTTTTGGGAGGTGACAGCAACAAGTAGCAGCAGGAAAGAACACACTACACTGGAGTGGTTACGTGGTTACACAGGTTGGCAGTGCTTGGAAAACACACTCCAAATTGTTTAGGAGGCCAGCCAGAGAACTTTTGAAATTATTGGCGTGTAGCTACAAAAAAATATTGTGGAATTTGTGGGCTCTCCATTGATTGACTAGAGGAAGGAGAAGAAAGGTGAACTTGTGAATGGGAAACCGTTCAGAGTAAATCCAAGGTTCCAGGGAAATAATAAACTATTGACGTGTATGTACTTTGAGAATGAGGTAATTTAAAAAGTAACAAATCAGAAAGTCGCTACGAGTTTGAAAAGAATGTGGGGAGCAGTTCAGATAACAGCACTGCTGAAAGTGCTCTGGGGAGCAGAAAAAGAGTCTGAACCAACATGGTGATGCCACTGCAAAGTTGGCAAACGCCATCCTGAGATAGCTAATCTGGTAACCTGATGTAGATGTAAGGAAGAGTGTGCAAGGCTGAAAGGACTCCAGAGCAGCCTAAGAATGAGGAAAGGTATAGAAAATACAAACTATGAGAACGTAACGCATACGAGAATTTGCTAGAAAAATGAAGTTTCAACTACTGACGTGATAATATTATGTGAAATGATGATCTAAAACTCTGCTGTAAGTTGCAGATTGCTCTTACATAAGCCCAGTGTTGGGCAGAGAAGTTTCAGTTAACTCACAACCAGCTCAGATGCCAGGGCGACCTGTGTAGTCGCAGGGACAGCCAAGTGCCGAAACGCTCTTGGCAGGCTGCGGAACGTGCCTCGCTGGGGGCTTTCAGAAAGGTTCAACTGCCTTTTGCCAGGAGTAAGGCCGTGCCTCAAGCAGCGGCTCCAGTGCGCGTCTGCCCTGCGCTTTCCCCAGACAGACTGACATAACAGGTGCCACAACACCGCTGGAACGCGCACTCGGGACAAAACGAAGCAACGGTTTTGCCCGGGACCTCCGCACAGGGTCTACCGCACCCGAGGCCCCGCTCCAAACGGCACCTCGGGCCGCTGGGGCGAGACGCGGCCGAGCGAACGGCGCCTTCCAGCCGGAGCCGGGGCCGACAGCCCCCGCCCGCCGCCGCCCGTCCCGGAGGCACTCGGGCCGCGCGGCCGCCCGGCTCCGTGCCGCCTCCTCCTGCCCCCTGCCCGGCACCTTCCTGCCCGCGCCGACGCCGGCACCGCACGGAGCTCCGCGCCCCGACCTCGGCTCCCTGCGGACGAAGGCGGCGGCTCGCGGGGCCGCCCGAAGCCCGTTCCTCAGGTACCGCTCCCGCGGCCCTCCCCGCCCCCCCCCGGACCCGAGGCGGGATCGCCCCGCGCCATGGCGGCCCCGCGAGGGACGGAGCGGCCGCCATGTTGTCGTCCTGCGGCCTGCGCTAACTTTGGGGAAGTTTCTTTCCCGGCCTCTGGGGGGACGCGAGGAAGGAGGAGACGGGGGGGGGTGGGGGGAGCTCGGCGGCCGGCGGGGCAGCACCGCGACGCGCGGAGCCGTTTCGAGAGCGGCCGCCTCGCGCCGACGCCTCCCGCCCTCCACGGGCCGCGCCGGAGCCGCCGGCGGCGCCGCGCCGTATTCACCGCGCGCGTTAGGCCGCTCCGCTGCGCAGACAGCGTAAGGCCGCCGCCGGCCCTCCGTGTGCGAGCGTCTCTCGCGCTACGGCCTCGGCCCCGCCCCCCGCCCCCGCCCCGCCCCTCGCGCCGTTTCCCGCGCGCCCATTGGCCGCGGCGGCCGTCACTCCGCGGCGGGGCCCATCTCGCGCTCCCCATTCATGCAGTTTGGTTGCGTGTTGGTGTATTTTACTGTTTGCAATAAAGAGGGGGGGATTTTTTTTTGTTCAGTTTCTGCTGCAATTAACTCTTGGTCCCGTCGACGTCTCTTTTTTTTTTTTCTTTTTTTCTTCTTTTTTTTTTTTTTGGCAATCCCGCAGGACGCTCGAAAACAGTTTCTCGGCGGTTCCCTTTATATTTTTTACACCTCTCCCGATCTCTCTATTTTGCAATCAACTATTAAGGTGCAACTATGCCCAAAAGAAAGGTAAGCGGGGCAGAACGGGGGCGGGAGGATTACGGCCGTTTGTGCACAAACAGCGCCGATTCGCCGTGTGTGTGTGTGTGTGTGCACGCAGAGTTTCGGCGTTTTCCATTTTTTGCTGCCCGTCCAGCAGCGCGGCCGCTCTCGTAGGGCCGGGGCCGTGCGGCGCGGAGCCGCGAGTTCACTTCGGGCCGCCGCCGGGCGCAGCGCGGCCGTCTCCATGCTGCTCCCGCCGCCTCCATGGTGCCGCCGCGCCTGGGCCGCGCCGCGCCGCTCCGCCGGGCGCCCACCGCCCCGCGCCAGCCCTGGGCAGCGCCGGCGGCATCGGGGCGCGGGTCGGGCCGTATCCCGGCGGCGCTGAGCCGCGGACGGTGCCCCTTTCTCCGCCGTTTGCCTTTGTTCTCCTTTTTTTTTTTTTTTTTTTTTTTTTTCTCCCACTTCTTGTCATACCAGATGGTTGTGCAATGGTAAATCGGAGCCATTAGGCGGCGCAGAGTTTGAAACCGTCCTTGAAGGGAAGCGGGGAAGGAGCCGCCACCATCATTAACAACTTTCCCCCGGCCCACGCCGCCGGGATCTCCCCCCCCCCCCTCCCCATCCCCCCGCCCGGCCCCGGGGGACCCTGACCGCCCGCCCCTCCCAAGGGTTCCGCGCCCCCCTTGGCGGTGCGGGCCGCCGCGCGCTGCCGGCCGCTCCACGTGGTCGGAAGGGATCCCGGTGCGGCGGGACGCGGCGCGGAGCCGCGGGGGAGCGGGGCGCGCGCGGAGCTTTGTCCTTGCGCGGGGCCGGCGGCGACCTTGTTGTGGCCGCGGATTTGGCGGGAACTTTTTAAACGCGGCGACGCCGCGGCGCGGTGACGTAGCGGCTCGGCGGCCGCGGGGCACGCTGGGAGCTGTAGTCCGCCGGGCGGCCGCGGGGACCCCGCGGGGCTGGGAGGCCGCGTCCCCGCTCGCCGCCCGGCGCTCACCGCCCCTCTTCTTCTCTTGCAGGCTCCAGCTGAAGGCGAGGCGAAGGAGGAGGTAGGATTTCCTTCCTCGGTTCCGCTCTGCGCAGGACTTCTGTGGTGGCGTGGGTTAAATCCGAGGTTCCCCTTACGGTGTGAGCCCTCGGCGCCTCGCTGCGGGGCCGCCCGCCCTCCCTGAGTCCCGCGGAGGCCGCTCTGCACACTGGGCATTGCAGAGCCCGGAGCTGCGGGCCCCCAGTCCCTTACAGCTCAGACACGGCCCTCAGGGCAGTGAGAGACGTGGTCACCTGGCACCTCAGTCGGGCTGCTTGTGCAGGGGAGCAGCGCTGAACATCAGCCCTGAGTCCAGAGGTTCCTAAATCCTGGGGTGTGCAGGGTGTGTAGGGTGTGTGTTGTGCTGTGCTGGGAAAGCACTGCTCTGTGCTTGCTGAGCTGTAGTGACACCTCTTTCTTTATGCAGCCAAAGAGAAGGTCGGCCAGACTATCTGCTGTGAGTATTTCTCTCTAATCTCTTCATATTTCATCTCGTGGGATGTTAAGTTCTGGGGGAAAGTTACAGAGAGACTGTTTTTTCCTGCTGCTGTTGTTAGAGGCCAAGTTTAGAGTATAAAAGTAGTTAAGAGTAATTAATTCCTACTTTATATGTCTGGGTTTTGAGCAGCAGCACATTACAGGGCTCACTTTCACACATCTCACGTGAGTTGTGCAAGTCGTTTCATTCATCTGTATTAGTGAACGTACGTCTGGACACAGGAGTTGGGTATCCAGACTCAAGGACTATTGATTTTAAGACAAACTTGGTGTCTGTAGGTCTCCTCACTACAAATACCTGCCCATAGCTCTTTAAATTGCCCACGCTTTCCTTAAGCTTGTAATTTGCCCGTTGATTTTCAGTGCCCAAGTGTTGGGTAAGCTGAGATCTAGAGGGTGTAAATCTCTGTTGAGTGGTAGAGTTCAAGCCAGAGTCAGTCTCACACGGGCTCTTAGTATCCATTCCTACAGACTTAGTGTGCCCAGCCCTTTTTTAAGCAGTCTTGGAAATGCCAAGTGGATAACAGTTGCTATTTAAAAAAGAAAGTACTTAATTTTAGTGAACGCTAAGATGTGTGTTGACTTCTAGAGTTATGTGCAGATGTTAATACATCTCATTTTTGATAGATGCTTGCCTTCGCATTAGACAGTGACACTCAGACACAGTAGTGATCCACTCACTACTGCTTAGTCAGCATCTGTGCTGTAGCCACTGTAAGTTATATGAGGAAATGTGAGTTTGAACAAGAAAGTATATTGACCCATCACTGACATTAATTCCTTACTACTACTGAAAGAAGCTGATGACTCAAAATATCTTTTGTTTGAGTAGTTTTCAAAAGTTACCAATGTAATGCTAAAACTTGTATAGAGTTCATCTGACTGTTTCTTATGTGTGTTTTGTACAGAAACCTGCTCCGCCTAAACCGGAGCCAAAGCCCAAAAAGGCAGCACCTAAGGTAAGTGTGAAAGGTATTGTGAACACTTAACACTTCTATTTTTCAGGGTACTCATAGAGGGGGAAAAAACACTGAAACAACCCACACATTCACAACTGATTTTTTTTTTTCATAGTTTTCTTTAAAGATTTAAGATTGAATCTTGTGGGTTAAAACAATGTGAAATTGTGACATAGAATTAATTTAATCCAAATTCTCCTGAAGGAATGTGGTAAACTGATCAGATTTTAAGTCACTTGTAGTGAGGCTTTACTGCTGCCTTGCAAGGCCATTCTGTAGTTTCTTACCATGTATTGTTGGGAAATTGTATTGATTTCAATAGAGATCAGAGATTCAATTAGGGAAGGCATTGAAAATCATGCCTTTAATTGCAGTTTCTTACTGAGTTTTCATTCAGAGGCGCTCCTTTCATTTATCAGTTTATCAGATTTTTATCAGTGGAGATAAGGATCTACATACTCATTTCCTTAAGCTGGATAGTTTCCGAAATGTCAAAAATATCGGCATGTCTGACAACACAGTTAAACAAGAAATATTTACATATTCTGTGTGCTTTGGAACAACAATTTGAAGCATAAAAGGAGGCTGTTTCTGTGATCCATGAGGTATTTATTCTTCCTTTCTGCCACACTTTCCCAGTGTTCACGGTTTGCAATCCTTTTAGTTTAGAGCTGTCAGTAAATATTCAGATTGCATTAGGCATTTGCTATTGGGAAAACAAAAAAATATTCTCCTTTTAGTCTGTTTCCATCATACATTTTCCTTGGTAGTTTTGAGCAAAGCACAGGTGAGAGTTTTAGTTACTGAAGGGTATGATGGCCTGAGAACCAGGAGCCCTTTTCTATACATTTAAAAGCCTTTGCAATCGCACATGGCACTGTGGGCTTCCAGATGATGAAAAAACTACTCTGCCTCAAGTTCTGCTGTGTGGAGCAGCAAAAACGGCACGAGGAGAGGATGAGAACCCCGCATGCTGTTTTGGGGATCCCCCATCACAGTGGTGTCCAGAGAAAGTTTTTCACATCTGCATCTTGGCTGTGCAGCCTGAACTTCTAGATCCCATTCCAGAGCGGTGGGGGAACCCAGGAGCCCTGCTGCTCAGCATTCCTGCGGTGTGAGCCGCTAGCATTCTGCGCTGCACCTCCCTCTAGTGGCTGCTCCCCTTGAGCCCACATTGCTCATGTAGCCCCAGTGGAAAGAGAGCTGGGATCTGCAAGTGCTGGGGTCAGCTTCTGCTGATTACTCATGCAGAGGTCAGTGCAATTGCATACGATGCGTGGTGTTGGTTTTTTTTCAGGTTTGCTTTTTTATTTTTCATTTTTATGGGAACATCTCAAGATTTGTACTCAAAAGCCGTGTTAACAGAATTTTGGAGTTGCAGAGCTAAGCACTTAAAAGTTAAGGACTGTAAGTGACTGTTACGGCTTGTGCAGCACGGGACTGGAGTAAGCTCTATGGTGCACTTTCTCTCAGGGACTGTATACTGTTGAGTTCTGCTGGCAAGTTGTGAGTTGCCCCACACTCAGAGTAGCGGCGTTGTTCTTCTTGCAATTAAGGTGTTGGTTTGAGTCTAGGATACTTGAGCTTTGGCTCTCTGAAGCTGTCTAATACAGGACCAGTGTCTATGCAGAAGGGTTGTAGTAAGAGTTCTACAGGATCCCAGGTACCCCAGTCACAGCTGTATGCTGCAAGGCACTTTCTCCAAAGTAATTTCTCTGGATTCTTCTCAAGTCTTGTTTTAAGAGGCTTTGCCAACTGAGAGCAGTCTGCAGAGCAAGTGGCTAACACACCTGTGCTGCTAGAGAGCCCTTCACAAAAGACTGCTTCTGTGTGCTTCAGAGGTCTACAGAAGTTTGTTCAAGTGACAGAGAGCAAACCAGTATCGCAGCAGCATTGCAGTTCCAAACCTAAACACTTCCAGAATAGTTATGTGCTGATGTTACTCTGACGGTTATTTTTCTTAGCCTTTTCCTTCTTCCACTCTGCCTCTTGAAAGTGTAAGTAGTGCTCTTCCAACTGAGGGAAGAGGGTGAGAGGAGGCAGATGATTCTCTTCCTTCACTCTGGGAAAGAGCCATTGTGTATCCTTCATAAGTCCATCCCCAGAATGGAGGAGAAGGTTCTGGAGAGTGGGCATAGCCTGGGGGAAGGAGACTTCTAATGCCACTGTAGTGGAGTTTTCCAGGTAGGCTGAAATCACTCAGGAAGGTCAGGCTGGGGAGTGAGAGGATAGAGAGGAAAAAGCCTCACACCGGATTGGTGCCAACAACCTCCTGTCTGAGCTTTCTGCATTATTACAGGACTTGGTTTTAATTTGGGTGAGTTTTTTTATCATCAGCATTACTGAATAATCAGGTGACTTTGTTCTTACCATTTTGTGTCTGTGTTTGACATTAGCAAACAACTCATTTTTTGATGTGAATTAATTTTGTGAACTAATAACCAGGAGTTGAAATAAGCATGTAGACTCTTTAGAACTTTTAGACACTGGGACAACTCCATCTTCTGAGTAGGTAAATGTGTGTATTTGTGGTTTATCTGCCTAGCTTCACTTACTTTTGGGTAGTAGTTTTGGAGATATTTATTGTTCTTTTGTTGGAACCATGTTTATCAAGCATTATTTGCTTAGATTCTTTGATGGTTTCTGGCTTGCTGGTTCTTTATTGGCAGCAAGAGGCAGATCCTTGCAAGTGACACTGATAAGAAACCATGCTTGTTTCTGGGTTAGGGTCAGAGTCTGACCTTACTATATAGAAAACTGTTACTACAGAAGTTGTGGCATCAAACTTTGTTTTGATTTAGTCTGATGAGCCATACAAGAAACTGTGGTTAAATAATAACTGCAAAGTTTGCGTTGTTATTGAAGTGATGCTGTTGGGCCCCCAGCTTGTGTATCACACAAATGGTTTATTATAGTAAGGAATATTTCGGGCAGACAAGGGGGAAAGTCCTTTGACTACAGCTTTGTTACAGTTTCTAAATAGGCCTCAATAGCACATCTGAAGTATTCTGGTATTTCCACTAGTTGCACATGTTCTTTTTGTTCTTTGGTATGCCTTTCAGCAGCACAGCAGAAATACAGGCCAGTTCAATTCCAGCATTTTTTAGCTAATTTAATTGAATGCCTATTTAAAATAGGAATTCTTTTAACCCCAGCTGTGACTGCTTTTATATTATGCACTTCTCAGTAGCACGTTTGGGGCAGAATAGAAGGAAAACACTTCTCCATAGAAACCTTCATCTCATTTTTGTCACTAGGAAGTTCTGTGTGTAGAAGCAGGTTGTGTGGACAGTGTCAGAGTTGTGAATGTGCGAATGAAGGCGTACGAGTTGGAAGTCAGCATTTACCATATCACAGTTTCTTTTCTTAACAGAAAGAAAAGGCAGCAAACGATAAAAAGGAAGACAAAAAGGCAGCAACAAAAGGGAAGAAAGGAGCCAAAGGCAAAGATGAAACTAAACAAGAGGATGCAAAAGAAGAAAACCACTCTGAAAATGGAGATACCAAAACTAATGAGGTACCTTAGCTACAGTAAACATGGGAATAAACACAGATGTATCGGTAATGCATCTGCTGGAACTAATGATTGGGGCCTCCTTGTCGGAAGGTGGTGCGTTCACTGCTGTCCTGTTAAGACACACCAGCTGCAGTGTCTGCGCAGGGCGACTCCCAGGGAGAGCCTGAAAGAATAGCATTCTCCTTCAAACTCTTTCCTGCTATGTGGTAGAGCCCTTCCACAGGTGGTCTGTGCTATTGTAGTGTCCCTCTCTGTGTTGGCACAAGAGCAATGCAGAATATCTGGGGAACAATAGAACTCAGAAAGATTGCTGTCCAACCCTGAGCTGACTTTGCATATCCTCTCTGGACTGCTGGATTGCCTATTCTGCTCAGCACGGGTTGGTACTGTGCCAGAAATCTGGTTTTAAGTTTTACACAATTCTTTAAAACAATTCTTCGCATCAGAACATTTCAGCAAGAGTTCTTCAAAACAAACTTGGTCTTGTCTCTTGATCTGAAAGCCTCTTTCTTATAGGTTCTTGGTCTTGTCTCTTGATTTGCAAGCCTCTTCCTTACAGGTTCTTACTGTATCAGCTACTTACATAAGAGCTGCCGTTTGCTAGGACTAGCTACAAGCTTCAGTCCGCTCCTGATGGCCTTTTCCTAGCACTCCTGTTGCTGATAGAAGTGCAGCATTTGCTACAGGCTCCTTTTATCCCTGTAGGCGTAGACTAGCCTGTTGTGTACTCCAGTGCTTTTGATTTACAGTGCTCTCTCTTTGTGTGCTGAGTATCGCTACAGAGTTAATGGGTCATTTATTTGTTCATTCTAAAAACCAATTCTCAAGCTTCTTTGCTAAAAATTAATATGGCACCATTGTACTTCCAAGGATTGCTGATGGGAACTTGGCAATTTTGATGTGTTGACTTAAAAAGTAATAGAAGATGGTTTTATAGAAAACAGGTGAGATCAGCCTCCCTGAAGTTAGTACAACACACAAGTATTTGCATGTAATTCTTACACTTCCTTGTGACTAGACGGAGATGGGGACATGAACATCCCCTGGCACTTGATTGATCCTTATCTAAAACACATTTCAAATTTCTGTCTCTGGATTCTCTTAACATTCTGATATTAACTCGATCATCAAATAATACTCCTCCATGGTTTAATTTTTAGAATTATCAGCCAACTCATTGTTGTGTTGATATTGTTGGTAGTAGCTGAGCTTTCCTGTTTATCTACACGAGTAATGTTGTCCATGTGCGTGCTAACAAAGTAGTCTCTCTTTGATGCTTGTTAGAATGGAATCCGATTAGCATTACAAATAATATTTCTATTCTTCCCAAACACTTTTATAGGCACCAGCTGCTGAAGCATCTGATGATAAGGAAGCCAAGTCCGAGTAATGTTAACCCTGCCCTATATCTCCATCATTTGGTATCCGTACCTCCATGCTGTATTGTTAACAGAGAGGAATATTTTTATCAACTATTTTATAAATGCAGGTTTTTTTAGCATGAATTTAATTATGGAACATCTTCATCTCGGTTACTTGGGAATTAAATCCCTAACAAACAAAACAAAACAAAAAAAAAATCATTGTTTTTAAATTTTGTGATTGTAATAGTTTGTATGGTACATGGAAAGAATAAGTGGTGGTAGCTTTTGACTTCTGTCAGTGTGTCCCTTTTTGTGTAAGTCATGCTTACAGAGTTCAGATTTTAATTTTACCCTTGTATGTGTTGTATGGTTTCTTAAAGTGGGGAGGTCTCAAAACAAATAACTGTGTTAAACATTCCAGTGGTTCTGTGGGTTGCTTTTATAAAGAAGGTGAGCTATTTTCATGAAAAAAAAAAAAAAAACCTAAGAGCTGGAAATCTGTTGTTTTCCCAAATGTAATTTTATTTTGTCGGTTTTGAAAAATAAATAAATAATGAAAAAAAAGCGTAATCATGTTTTTAAATGAAATACAAACATTTCTTTTAAAAGGGCAGGTCGGTTGTATGTACCCACTGTTAGGAATTTTGCTGGATTTATCTTAATAAAAAAGACTCCTCAAAAGCTGACTGTGGTTCGTTGCTTGTGCTGCACACGCGCTGCTGGAGCTCTCCCGGAGGGGCTCCGTGCTGGAGGGACCTGTGCAGCTGGGACCTGGCATCCAAAGCACGGCCGGTGCTTGGGCCCCTGGCTCCTGCAGTTGTGTCAACAAAACCGACTCCATGCAGTCAAAATGGGAACAGATGGTTCCAGAGGAAACGCGCTGCCTTGCGCCGGCAGGGCACTACCCCAGCATTTCCACATGGAAGCTTATGTTCTAAACTTTGCTTCCTCGAGAAAAGCTGACATACTTGGTGTTGCCCAACATGCCTTAAGGGCTGTTGGTGTTATCAGCTCTGGAGGGTGTTGTCTCATTTATGCTTCAGTGCCTGGTAATTGATAACAATTTAGAAGAGGGGTCTTCCTTCTTAGAAATAGCAGGTGAGCTTGGAGATAGCAGTGCTGACAGCAAACCTCTCGTAGTGTTAAAATAGTTTTCCGTTATGATGCTGGAATGGTCATAGTACCAGTTAAAGTGCATGCTTACATACCATTTATTTATAGCTGCTTCTAATATATTCTACTTATGGAGTGTTTTCTTGGATTTGCTTAGCTTTCCCCAGCATCATGTGTGTATATACAGAAAATGGTTTCCATGAATGCAAGCCTGTTCTGGGAATCGCTGCTAGACTAGGCAGTATGCACAGGGGTTTAATATTTGTTTTACCTAGTCTTATTTCTGTTGCTACAGCTATGCTATACAATTTTTTTCAGGGACACTTCACATTTTCCTCTCTAAGCCACCTTCTTTATGGTCTCTTCACATTGATAACCAAATTTATCATGTATTTGATAGGAAGAAAAATGTCTGCAATGCAGAAAGTATGTTTTTGTGTGTGTGTAAGATTGTTCTGCAGCTCAGAAATGTGAAATTCCAGGAGGCTGCATAGTTCATCTTCTATCCACAACCTAACTTGGTGTCTCAGTGCAGTGCCCTGTATGAAATGGCTGTTCCCTGAGCAGAACCCCGGGTGCTGGCTACTCAGTGAGGTTTAGTGGCAATTTAACCTCCGAGGCCTAAAGCACAGACAATTTTTATTCCTGCTGTGCTACCTTTCATTTCGTAGATGTGCTCTGTTAAAGCAGCCAGGGTATGTGAGCTACAGCTTCCTTTCAGAGCTATTACACAAGTTCAGGTGATATTTTTCCCTCCTAGGATTTTCTATGGGATGCATCTGTCGGTGTATGAAAGCTCATGGTGATTTAGTGATACCAGGAGATTCTGCATATTTTAGATTGAAGGGACCCAGTGACAATTCAAATGCCATCCCCACACTTTTACACATGAAAGTTACTGACTTTAGCTTGCTTTTGATCAAAAAAGGATCGCTAATAAGCACGGCAGTTTGTTTCGGAGACAAGATACGATAGTTTTTAGGGTCTGAACAAATGCTGCTTGAAGTTGGTGGGAAATACCAGTGGGCCTGCACAGTTTTAAGGATAAAATGCATTTTGGAATAAGCGTATTATACCTGCAATGTCTCCTCCCAGCTTCCAGTGGTTGCTCTGCAGAGGCTTCAAACAGCACATCTGGTGTAAATAGGAAGGTGAGCTCTTTGTCCAAATCTCAGTGACACCCCTCTCCTCCCTGTTTCATTCTCCCTTAGTGTTTCGGGCATGGTTATTTAAGTAGTAGCCAACAGTATGAGTATGGTTGATATTTTCTTCCTAGCAAAAGACTCATCCATGTGCCAAAGTGTAATCAGCCCATCACTCACTAATTGAGGTCATTCTGTATGTTAGGTCGCATTTCTCCATTCTAATTCAGAAGCTGTTACACAGAGACATACAATTGAGTGTTTGGTTTTGTTTAGTTCCTCTTTCAGTGCCAGGGGAGAGTTTTCTTAATTCTATAACTATTGTTACAACCAGATTCCTGTTACAAATAAACTCAGAAAATTGCTTAAGAACTTTTCATACAAACCTCGTTGCTCAAGTTCACAACTTTTCAGAGCAATGGGATATTTGAGTGAGTTGCACAATAAAATAGATTTCTGCCTTCTGCCAAGCCCTCCTCATCTCGTATTCTTGACATCTTGACACTGCATCAAAGGTAGCTCCAGTTTATGGCTGACCAAAAAGTGGAGGTTTCAGTGGGAGGAATTTTTCACGACCAGTCGGGTTGGGTATCCCTGATTCCAGGCTCAGATGGAATGCATGGACAAACCCTTCACCGAGCTCCTTGGCTCCCCACTGGCAGAGCTCTGGGGTATAAGAAACATGTTTCCTATTCTAGTTCTGACTAGGAAAGGTTCTTACAATGGCTAAGCAGGCAGAATTGACTGTGGGCGTTTGATTATCATTACTGATGATAACAATTCCAGACTCGACAAGATGTGATGTGACAAACAGCTTCTTGAGTCTTAAGACAGCAATGGTTCTGTAGTGGCACAGTGGTGTTCTCAGCAAAGAGAGGAGACTTCATGTGAGGTAAGATGCACGTTTTGAGGAAGGCACCTGTAGAACTGTCAGCTTGTGTTTTGCACTGAGATCTGGTGAAAGGTGGCAATGCTGCTGCTCATCACGAGTTTCAGACTCTGTACGTGGAGGTAGTTTGATGAATGTTACATCCAGTTCAACGAGCGGACTGCAGGCACTGCCATGGTCCAGGTATAGCAGAGGATCCCACTGGGCTGCATGAGCACAGAGCAGAGCACATGCTCATGCATTGTAGGGCTCAGGAGTTGGGTATATGGCCAGGGCTGCTGGAACACAGTGCAGTGCTCTGGGTGCAGTGAAGCAGTGCTGGGTCACATTGCCCTTTCAGCACAGAAACACAGCGTGCTTCCACCCAGCAAGATGGCAGGGAACAATGAACCCATTGTAGACCAACTGGAGGGATCGTGTGCACGCTTTGGACCCATCGTATTGTTAGGGAGGTTCTCCATAGCGGTTTCATTTAGTAACAATCATTGGACAAAGCGAGGCTCTTCGCTGCGCCGCTCAGTGCACAAATGCCCTATGATGTAACTTACGATGCAGTCTCCTAGAGCAGCATGCATACTGAATGTAGGATAAAGGGCTGAGACCTCCCATTCCTCAGTGTAATGCTTGTTCTTACAGGAGCCTCAGCAGAATGTGGGAAAGTGTTAGCTCTGTGAGAGCAATGACAGGCTTAGAGAAACTGCTGAGCACCTGGGAAGAGAGGTTTGAAGGAAGAGGAGGCACCTTGGGACTTCTTCCTGGGGTCCATCGTGAGCGATGTGTTGGGGCAGCACAGAGGGAGGGACAGGAGGGAAGAGGCACAAACAAACAGAACATGGAAATCAGTGAGGTCCTTCTGCTTGGGAAAAAAAAAAAAAAAAAAAAAAAAAACAGGAGGAAGGAGTAAAATCTTGTGTTTTAAATGGGGAGGGGAGAAAAACAGACTGCATACAAGAAAGCCTTTGTAGATACATCCTATGTCCATCTTCACTCCTTTAAGGGAAGTAACTGCATGCAAAAGCCAGAAAATCTGATGTGTCTGATTTTCAGATCAAGAGCAACTCCCTGGTAGTTAATGGAGTTACACTGGTGTTAATCTGATGAAGCAGAAAGAAAATTGGATCCCCTGAATAGAAACGGATGGCTCTTCTTTCCAATTGTCCCAATGGTGATGTTCCTCCTCCATGCAGCTGGCGCAGGAGCCCCTGCTCTGAAACCTGATCCTGCTGGATGGATTCCAGTGAGCCAAGAACACCCCTCGGGCTGCGTCCGCGGCTTTCGAGGAGCCTCTCTCCTTCTGAGAGAACAATGTCAGCGTGGCTGCTGGCCAGAGAGCATCCCAGAGCCCAGAGAGGGGAAGCGGTCACTACAGAGTGTGGAGGTAGGGGACAGAAGTCATCGCTGCCCATGCAAATGGCAGAGGGTCCCAGGGAAACGAAGCACTGCCAGGCTCGGGGTGGAGATGCTCACAACGTGTCACATGGGAACACTCAAGTGTTGGCCCAGTGTGTTACAGTGAGCCCAAGATTGTCACTGAGAGGTGACACCTGGAAGAAGTGAAATGAAGTAGGTGCTTATGTGATATGAAATGAACATCGCAAATTGGAAAGCGCCGTTTCTAAAAGAGCGGAAATCAAATTGACACCGCAAAGCTCTCGAAGGCATTTTAATATAGTTGGACACATCTTAAACATTTCCAGACGTTCTTAAAAAAAAAAAAGGGGGCAGAGTGGGGGGGGGGGAGTAAAGGGGAACAATGCAGACAAAAATGTGATATTGAAACCTAAAAATAGAATGGCAGGACCAGATTTAAACCAGGTTCATCTCACTGGACTCAAGGACTGTGCTGCTCCAGAGCTCGCTGCCAGGGTGAGGACTCGGAGCTGGGAGGAGCAGAGTGTGCCCTGCACACAGCCAGGCACTGCCCACCCCTGGATTGCTGCTCATCCTCTGGTGCTGGAGCCATGGAGTTCTG